GTGATACTAACTATCAGATATATCGTGATAAATAATGTTATCAGTCGGATCCATCTTTACTTTTTTTTTTTTACACCAATGCATTCAAAAGGAACAGTTAAACTTAGTTTAAACAGTTAAACAGTTTGAAATAACTTCCTTCTGTTAAATGATGTTGCTTCAAATCACAGAATGAGGCAGCAAATTATTTAGTAGTATTCTATAATGTAATAAAGGTGATGTTGATTGAACTATACGTTGCATTATACATTATTTTTATGAAAATATCCAAGATGGCTTAAAGAACACAGATAAACCACATACTGTCGCAATTGTGTGTTAATTCTCTTCATGTTTAATTAGTCAAATCATCCCTATATGCATTTTATTCAGCTACAGTGATAGCTGAATGTAGGGCTGGGCGATATGGCAAAAAATAAAAAATCTTGTTTTTTTCATAATGTTTGACCGATTCACAATTTCGATTTTTTTAAAATGTGTAACTAGTCAACTTATAACATAGCTACAACAACATGACTGAAGTAACATTCTCTTTATTAGTAACATGAAAAACCATCTGGTTTAGGAACGTTGTATTTTTAGTGGGCATGCCATAAATTGGTCAACATGGTGTAAATAAATGTAAAACAAATTCTCTATTTAAATATATTTTCAGAAGATTTGAATGCAATATGAAAGTAAACATTGTGCAATTTGAATTAAACATTAAATACTACTGAATACAGAGTAAGAAAATAACCATTTTAACCAATGTAAACATTACATCAGTCAACTCAAAAAGTTAAGCAAATTTACACCAGTAGCATTATTAACAGTAAATGTTTGTTAAAAAAAACGAACCACACTTTGCAGACCATCTTGCAAACATAAAACATGTTGTTGATAAGTCACACGTAGTTCTTCTTTACATGTTTCTTGAGAGGAAGACCAGTCTGTCAACTGTTCCAGGCTTCAGAGATGCTCTGTGACAGGTTATAATGTTCCCACCTGCACTGAACATCCTCTCAGAAGGGGCTGTCAGCTCGGCTTTGACTTTGTCTTCTTCTGATTGAATGACAGGTTGTGGTGCTGGTGCTGTTTTCTTAAAAAAGCTTGCCAAGGTTTTCTTCCTCTTGGCCCCAGCTTCTGTTCTCTGTTCTTCCTGCTCCACGTCCTGAGTCATCTGAACTGTTGTCTCAAGATTTTTGTCTGGCAACAAAGATGTCAGCTCTTTAACAACTTTTTGCTTGATTCCCTCCAACTTCTCATGTTCGATGTAAGTTGTACGGAACGTGGGATCCATCAGAGAAGCTACATTGAGGATTTAATCTGTGACAGGGTCGCTGTATTTGCAGTTGAGGTACTGCAGTATTGTGCTTTTGATGCGTTTTGTTAAATCTGTCGTTGTCTTGTGCTCGTAGAATGCTACTGTTAAAGAGATGGAGCACTGGTTTGAGGTACAAGACACTCACATATGCTTCACCCGACAATGCATCAGTGAACTCTTGCAGAGGACTTACAGCTTTATTTATGGATTCCATGACATCGATGTCTTGCCACGTTGGAACAAGCTGCCGAGTTTTTTTTTATCAGAGCCATCATGGCTTTCTCCTGTTCTAAAACCCGCTTGATCATCTTTTGTCTTGAACCCCACCTGGTGGGGGTCTCCGTAATGAGCTGATGAGAAGGTAGGCCGAGCTCAGCCTGTGCAGATGCAAGATCTCTTCTCTTTTTCCAGCTGAAGGAAAACACACTTACAACCTTCTTGCACACTGCAACTGCACGGTCAACTCTGTGGTCTTTCACACCATGTTCTGTTAAAACAAAGCAAGAAAATAGATTTGAAATAGCAGTTCATTCGTCTGTGACAGAAATATTGTGAAGAGCTTTCTCCTTCATAACTTCAGATTATGAATCTATAACCAACAAACTCTGTAAAACTTTTTTTTTATGGGAACAATGATTGAAAGAAATTATACCTTTTTAAAAGAAATGGGGATAACTGTTGTTTTATTGTTAGCCAGAATTATTAATTTCATAATTTTTTTTGACAAAAGAACATTCTCCTACATAACTTTAGATAACACACACACAGAGACCCACACATAACATTTTTAAGTGATTGGCACTATTATTACAAAAGCAAATAAATAACGAAAATTATTTTTATAACATAATAATAATCATAATTTCAGGTATTAATGAAATAAAAATGAACATCTGAATAACTGCGATTTTATTGCTTGCATTATTAATCATACTTACCAATGGCATTGTGAAGACGATGTCCAAAGCACTGAAGATGGGTCCTGTCATTTATCTTCATCGCTTTGATCATGTTCGTTCCACTGTCAGTGGTCACGCACGCTTGTCGATCCTCCACAAGCTTCCAAGAAGCCAGTGCATCTTTAAGCCCTTGACCAATTATTTCCCCAGTATGATCGTCAGGAAAATAACATGTCTGAAGGCAAAAACTTCGCAGTTTCCATTCTGCATCAACATAATGGGCTGTGAGGCTCATGTAAAGCTGAAGAGTACAACTACTCCACAGGTCAGTCGTCGTAGAAAAAAAAGATGCCTTCTCAAGCTGCTCTGCTACTTTTTCACGTGTTTCAGTTTACATTCGGGGAATAGCTACGTCTTTTAAATATTTGCAGCTTGGCAACTGTATCTTGGATCAACAGTGTGTAGCATTTTTATGAACCCTGGCTTTTCGATGGTGTATATGGAAACCATGTCCTTAGCGATATGAAACGCCACAGCATCTGTAAATTCTTGCCATCGGGGCGCCTTTTTGTTGTATGGAATGGCATTGGAAAATGATACCGCTAATGACATCTGGCGTTCTGCAATTTTAGGTGGACCTGTTGCACTTGGACTTGACTTGTTTTCATCTCTTAACTTTGAGCATTCTTCCCATTCAGCTTGGTGTCTGTCGCAAATGTTGGAATAAATTAGTGGTGCTGCCACTGTCGGTTGCAACGGACTTTCGGCATATTTTGCATTTGACAAAAGTTTGTTCGACATCTGACCTCTCAAATCCAAACCATTTCCAAACCACAGAGGAAACGTTACTACCTTTCTTTGGCACAAGGTCATCCTGACGTGAAGAGCCACCCGTCTCCATGATGTTAGACGCTATAGCCTATTACGCTCCTTCATAGAGTGCTCTCACACGTGAGCGGTTAATTAGGCACGCCATCATGTGGTCGGACAATATTGCCTCTTAATTATTCTGCCATTGGTGCAATGACAATGTATCTAATATTTTTTATAAAAAATCGCGATACCTCGATTTAAGAAAAAATTAAATCGTCTTAAAACGTAAATTCGAATTAATCGAAAAAATCTCCCAGCCCTAGCTGAATGTCTTTCTTTGAAAGTAATTTTTAAAATTATACTTTTGTACTTAAAGCACTGAGGGGTGTAAATATAATCAGGCATCAACAGTTATCAGGTTAATGTAACGTTTCAAGGCTAGCAAAATAATTTAAAATAATGTTCATCATTATCGTCAATATTGGTATATAGTGACACATTTTTTACATATTTTAGGTGTGCTTAATTGGGGTTGGAACTAAACTCTGCAGTGGTGGGTTTGTCAAAAGCATCGTTAGCTAACTTTTCTTTCTTTCTTGAAAGCCTGATTTCAGACTTTATTTATTTAACCTTTATTAAAGATTAGACACTAAGTTACCAATCACATGTTGTGTCTGCAAATATTTCATGATGTCCTTCAGGGGAAGTGTAAACAAGGAGAAAAGCAGAGGACCTAATACTGAGCCCTGTGGCACTCCATTCTTGTCTTTGATGAGATGTACATGATATTTCTCTGTGGCAAGGCTGTAGCATCAGTATATTTGTTTGTAAATATTTAGAGTTTAAGTACTTAGAGTTTAATTAAAAGTTAAAAGACTCTACTGTCTAACACTGCTGAAAGTCTCACAGACCCAAATGATTCACATACATTTAATCTTTCCAGTAACTGTGTAGCAGTGGCTCAATCTTACATTATTAGTTAGTATTTACAATTATGCATTTAGCAGACAATGTCATCCAAAGTGACTTATAATGTTTTGTGTTAGTGTGTGAGAGAGCGCATTTAGTTTATGGGTATGGAATGGTTAAATGCTTGTGGAAGAGGTCAGTCTTCATCTGCTTCTTGAAAGTTGTGATCATCTCAGCAGTTTGGGAGGAGGTTAGTAGCTCATTCCAACAGAAAGAAGCAGGAAGGATGAAGTTTTTGGAGAGTGACTTTGTGCTTTGTTGTGAAGGAAGAACAAGGTGTCATTTACTCAGTGACCATAACTTTTAGGAGGTAGTATACACTTAAAGAAGTGAATTGAGGTAGGAGGTGCTGTTGCAGTGGGAATCCTGAAAGCCAGTGTTGAAATGTTAAATATGATTCTGACCGCAACTGGGAACAAGTGGGGTGAGATCAGGAGGAGTGTGATGTGGGTTGTCTTCGGGTGATTGAAGATCAGGCATGCTGCTGTGTTCTCGACCATCTGCCAAGGCTTATAGTCGTACTGGCTGGAAAGCTGACCAGTCTTGAAATGATAAGAGCTTGGACGAGCAGCTGTGCCATGTGCCTTTATGATTGTTCCCCGTGAAATTGTGTAAATGTAGAAGCAAAGAGAACTGTGCACTCAACCTTGAGACACCCCAGAGATTAGCTGATGTCACTTAAACTCCCCTCCTCACCATGTATGTAACACCTCTTTCAGTAGCTTAGTGCAAAGTTTTTTGTTTTTTTTCTCAAGGTATACCTTCTCTAACACACACATTCCAGGTCTTTGAGTCTCTGCTAAAGAGCTGATGACCTCAGTCAGGTGTGTTTGATTAAGGAGACATGCAAAATGTGCAATGCTGGGGTAACTCCAGGAACAGGGTTGAAAACTTAGAGGGTTGAATAGCTTAGTGAGTACAGGTTCTAGCTGTATGTTGTTAGTTTTGATGCCTTTTGCTTAGTGCCATTAAACTGGGGTTAACATTTTTGTTTCTTTTTCACTTTAGAACTGATGCCATTGAAAGAGGAGAGTGACATGCTGACTGATATGGAAGAGAAAGATCAATATGATAAACATCATGATTTCATAACTGGAGATGAATCTTTTAGTTGCTCACAGACTGAAAATACGTCCTCACGAAAGATAGCTCAAAAGATAGGAACAAGTTATTTTGCCTGCTTTCAGTGTGGAAAGAGTTTCAGTCAACATGAAAACCTTCAGGTCCACCTAAAACTTCACACTGGAGAGAGCCCTTTTACCTGCCAACAGTGTGGAAACATATTCACTCAGAAAGGAAGCCTTAACAGGCACATGAGAATTCACATTGGAGAGAAGCCTTACACATGCCCTCAGTGTGGAAAGAGTTTTGATCAATATGGGAATCTTAAAGTCCACATGAGAGTTCACACTGGAGAGAGCCCTTTCACCTGTCAACAGTGTGGAAAAAGTTTCAGCCGAAAAGGAAACCTTAATTATCACATGAGAGTTCACACTGGTGAGAGCCCTTTCACCTGCCAACAGTGTGGAATAAGTTTCACTGTAAAAGGAAGCCTTACCAGGCACATGAGAATTCACACTGGAGAGAAGCCTTACACATGCCCTCAATGTGGAGAGAGTTTCGAACAACATGGAAACCTTAAGGTCCACATGAGAATTCACACTGGAGAAAAGCCTTACACATGCCCTCAGTGTGAAAAGAGTTTTGATCAACATTGGAACCTTAAAGTCCACATGAGAGTTCACACTGGAGAGAAGCCTTACAAATGCACTCAGTGTGGAAAGAGTTTCGATCGACATGGAAACTTTAAAGCCCATGTGAGGGTTCACACTGGAGAGAAGCCTTACAAATGCACTCAGTGTGGTAAGAGTTTCACTCAAAAAGGACACCTTGAAGTCCACATGAGAATTCACACTGGAGAGAAGCCTTTCACCTGCCAACAATGTGGAAAAAGTTTCAGCCGAAAAGAAATCCTTGACAAGCACATGACAATTCACACTGGAGAGGATGAGTTTAGATCCACATGGACATCTTAAAGCCACATAAAAATTCACACTGGAGAGAAACATTTATATTTGGTCAGTGTGGGAAGAGTTTACGATATAATCGTAAACCAATGCCATGAAGTTAGCATTTTTAAACATCCGCAAACTAAAAAATAAATCATTTCTGATCAATGACTTAATCACCACAAACAACTTGGATTTTATGTTTTTAAACGAAACATGGCTAGAAGACCGCTGCAGTGCAACAGTCCTCAATGAAACAGCCCCTCCTAACTTTACTTCCATGAGTGTCTGCAGGACTGTTAGGAGAGATGGAGGTGTAGCTGCTCTATTTAAAGATGTCTATCAACGCAAGCAAGTGTCATTTGGTCAGTACTTGTCTTTTTTAAATATCTAGGGATTGTGCTGAAAGGTGCTCCACGCATCCTATTTATCATTATTTACAGGCCTCCAAAATACTCTCCAGCCTTTGTTGAATAGCACTATCTGATAACTTCTGTATTTTATTTGATATATTAATCTCTGCTACCACTGAATGTAGATCTGTCTCTGTCAGAAAGAGATGCATTAACAAGAACACTAGTGTGCTATTTATGAAGGCTATATCTTTAACACCAAGCATTTCTGCAG